ACACACACACACACACACACACACACACACACACACACACACACACACACACTGTGGTGTATTTCATGTACCGCCCCTTTAAGACACGGGAGCGCGCTTGAGAGCGGGGGCGCGCCCTTTGTGCAGAGTCCATTTTACCATCACGCTGTGAGGACCCTTTTTCCATCTCTCTCTGAATAAACATGTCCAAAGCTGAAGATATCGCCTTTTCTTCATTCAAGTGTCAGCTAAAGAGGGTTTTAACATCCAGCAGCTTACAGGCAAGATGCGCTCTCTGATTTTCCATCAACCCAGCAGCAAGCAGCCGAGAGCAGACGGGCAGATAGAGGGGAGACGAGAAGGGTCCAACCGCTGACAAGCCCAGAAGAACCGAACCGGACCGAACACAACAAAATGGCGTCACGATCCAGGCCTGCTCAGCGTTAAAAGGTTAATATTAGATTAACAGAGGATTTTAACGGCCGTAATTACCTTTGTTTTATTTAATTTTTATGCCTTTGAGGCTCAGGACGGTTCATTTTAGTTTTGTCGGTGACCACGGCGTTTGGGCTCCGTCTATTTTCTGGTGTCTGTGTTTTGTATTGTGTGTCCGAACCTTGCTAATTTATTTGTTATTTTTTTTATGACGTGTCGCCCGCCGCAGAGAGATTAAGTGTGTGTATCCTCTGGCGGTTTATGTGTAAGTGCGCGCACAGTTGAAGTAAAAGTGTGGAGATGCATCTCTGGTTCTGAGTGTTAGCCGCTACTCCGTGGCTAATGAAACGGGTCGGTCACAGAGACGTCTTGGCTGCCCCGGTTAGCTACTGGTAGGGAGTGGTTGTGTACGAAGCCGTTCAGCCTAATCTTTTGTTATCTTGCCCGTATAGGAGTACCCGGTTACAGTTTTCTTTTGAGGCCTAAGATCTGTTTAATTCCGATGAAAAAGGCCGGGGAGGTAATAAAAAATTGGGTGGTGGAAGCTCCGTCTAAACTAATGGAAGTTTAAAGGGGACATGTGGTCAGTTTTTTTGTTGTTTTTTTTAAAGTTCTGTTCAAGCAAGGGAGTGCAGGCCTGTGTGTTTGTCTGTCATAAATGGTTGTTTATTGTTAAATGTGGTGTTTTGTTGTTTTTTGTTTATTGTTTGTGAATTAACTTGGCGCCATTTGGGCTGGTACCAAAGTGTGGGGGTTGATTCAAAGTTTTTTTTTCTTGCTGCAGTTTCCTTTGTCTTGTCTGGGAGTGATTTATTGCAGGGCAGCAGGAGTGGGGGTTGTTTTTCTGCTGCTGTGAGGGCATCTGGCTTTCATTAACTGTCTTTGCTCTCTCTATGTGGTTCTTTGTTCGGAGCGCCTCCTGCTGGTGAGAGAGACAACTTTCTGCTGCAGGAACGACCGTGCGATGGGGCTGCTCTCTTTTCTTTTTGACCAGGCGAGTAATTTTGTTTTATCCACAAACTAAAATAAAAATAAAAATAAAAAAAAGAAACAAAGCATTATTTTACTTCTTTGTCATTTTTTGAGTGACTTCTACTGAGCATCAGTTGTTTTATCTTCAGGTGACCATTTCAATTTCATTTCACGGCCAAAGGGAGGTATATAAAATACAAATTAAATTCAAATTCAAATTAAAAAATTACTTTATTGAAAGAAAGAAAGAAAAGAGTTGGTTTATAGTTTTTTAATATAGTTTTTTATTTTATTTTATTTTATTTTATTCTGTGTTTGTTTTTTGACAAAGAACAATGCAAGGGACGCAAACCATTACAC